GTTACCACATGCGTCGCTAAGCCTAGGCTTCAGCAAACGCGCTCTGCTCATTTCTGGGTCTTGAGCTCTCGGCAGAGCACATCACATTCCCAATGCTCGAACGGCAGAGCCGATATCGCGTGGATAAATCCGATAGCAGAGCAATCCTGTACACCCACAAGTGCTGGCGTAGTAAGCATATATTTTGGTGACAATGCTCACCTATTCAAAGAAACGTAAGATCCGAGTGCACCCGAGTTTGGGCGCAGCTTTTGGGCTGACCAGGCTGTGCACACATGCAAACAATGTCAGCTAGCCGAATTTGAGGACCAGAGAAGCTCGGAACACGTGGGTATGAATATTTGAATACGTGTACGAGGGAAAATTGATGTTAAGGTGGGCTCAGGGGGGCTATTGAAAGAAACGCAAGATCCGAGTGCACCCGAGTTTGGGTGCGATTCTTGGGCTGACTAGGCTGTGCACACCTGCAACCACCGTCAGCTGGCCGAATTTGAGGACCAGAGCAGCTCGGAATAGGAGGGTGTGTGCCTTTGAGTTGGGTAGGTTGCCTCATCAAGCGCTCCCAACATTAAAGGCATAAAGAACGCATAGGAATACAACTTAAGCCCCAAAACATGAACAAAATGTGCTATATAGGAACACAACTTAAGGCCCTAATAATGCCCTCAAAACACAACAACTAGAAATATCAATACACAGGTTCATGAAAGCCAGACCATGACAATCCACCTTATGGGTGCTCCACTGGACTAGCTATGAACTAGAGTTGTGGGGTCAACATTTGTGGGAAAGAGAGAGAGAGAGAGAGAGAGAGAGAGAGAGAGAGAGAGAGAGAGAGAGAGAGAGAGAGAGAGAGAGAGAGAGAGAGAGAGAGAGAGAGAGAGAGAGAGAGAGAAAAAAAAACCTAAACGGCCACACTAGTCCCATAGAGCCAGGAAACCACCCAAAGCCAACATTGGCCTTCTGAAAAGTCAGTAATGGACCCTCAAAGCCCAAAGCAAGCATTACCCTTGTAGTCATAGGTGGACAAACAAGAGCCTTTAGTAACAAAAAGAGAATCAAACAAGTCATAACATGCTGCATGCATGCACAGGAAAACAAAAACCACCAGTAGTTCAACCTCAACAACTAATAAAAAGCATAAGAGCACTGACATCCTTTGTCTTCTTTTCTAAGTGTCTTACGCAGCAAACTACACAACATGCCATTGTACAACCCTACCACACCCCTCTGCCAAAGTGAGTGCGTGTGACCAGTTGGGGGTCATCGTACGCGGCAGCGACACCATAGGCGACACCTCATGCGAGTCTCATGCGAAAATATCGAAATATTTCGCGAATCTATGATTTCGCTGCTTTCGCTAATCATATATAAGTAAATATATGAAAAACTCATTGACGGTCTCTATACGGTAGTCTAGCTGAGTCTAAAATTGCCCCGCCGGCCAAATTTTTGCCCCAACAGCTGTCTAGCCAAGTCTAGGGTGCCTTCACATGGCAATTCCCCGCTGGGGTTCTCGTATATCTCTGAGCAAAGATCAACCAAAAGCCCCGGAAGGTGAGGGCGCGCTACATTTCGGACGAAGGCAAGCTCGAGACTTGAATGTTTTAGGTATAAATGTGGTTACCCGACATGTAACCACTCTATACCCGCACGGTCAAGACGCCTCTTGATGTAACTCCCGCCAAATCGATCGCATGTTCTGAAAACACGATCACCGCGTTCGACTCTTTGTGCCAAAACTACCAATCCCACCTCACAAATCGATAAAGTTGTGTTCGGCTGCCGACTTTGTTGCACAGTTTTGTGTTGTCCTCAAGTTCGTCATGTCGCAAGTTTTTCATATTGAATGTCTAAGGTGGAACTGCGGGATAGTTCTTGTACCCGTGTCGCCTTGAACGCCTGTATTTTACACCTCTTTTTCGATCATCGGTCAATTTCGGGAGAACGGGGTTTTGTTCGAAATTGCACAAAACCCTTCTCGGTCCAGAATGTATCGCGCCCGGAGTCAAGTGAAAGCACACTTCAGTTTCACTCTACTGTCAGGAAGCTTTTCTGCTTCAGGAGGTGTAGGAAGAACAGCAGCTGGGGTGTACAGGACAGAAAGGTACAGTACGTTCGCGGACGTCACGGAACGGTATGGCAAAATGTCTAGTTTCCGGAACGATTGAGAGCAGTTCACTTCGGTGCCGTGACGCCACGAAACCTTGTACGCCACTGCACTCCAGGCACCCTCTTAGCAGCTAGGACACAGTATGCTGTAGTAGACTAACGCTTCTGCTGTACATCCCGTGACAATGCTCTCAAGTTGTTTGCTCTCGAGCACAAGATGTGATCACCAGGCCGGATGAGTCAGGCATAGAAGTTTCTCTTTGCGTGACGCGAGCTTTAATTCAGGGTTTTCGTGGAATAGAGTCAATGTCGCATGCCAGCAGCAAGAGCACAATTCAGGATCTGGTGTTCCGAGGTAAAATGTAAAAAAAGCTTTTACTCGTCCTAAATATGATATGTTTCTGGCCGATTTCAGCGACGGGGTCTGTCAGCATCACGCCGCAGATAATTTTGTTTTCGCTTTAGTACCAGCGGAACAGCGTTATCGCCGTGCTAGACATTAAGATGGCCGGAAAAATGGAAAAAAAACCCCGTTCTGGGAGCATTTATTCCCGTTCGCTGACGGCTGACATGCGTTAACTTATTCCTACCGGATTCCAGCTAATTGTTGACGTTCAATGCCCCTGAAGTCGATTTCTTGTCTGTGCAGGGTATTTCTGAGAATTCTAAAAAACACTCTGAAAGGACGTAAATAGTTAGAAACCTTTTGCTATAGCAAACCTTTCGCGCTGGGTGGGGATATGCTATCATCCTCGCTACATTGACGACCATTGACAATTTTAATCGTCGAGGAATACCCCACCCCATTTTTCAGGCCATATCTTCGCCGTGCTGCTCTCCCTATGGCTGCTCTCGGGAATGGCTTTCGTGGCGTGGCTGTGCTACTCGCGGCACTCCTCGTACCAAACCGACCGCCGTCAGCACCTCGACACGTGGTGCTACGAGCGCGCCAAGCTGTTCGAGCAGCACGCACTCACCACCGTCAGCCAGATCCGAGTGAGTGGGATGGAGAAATTATGGATAAGACGTAATCGCGCTCACCACCGTCAGCCAGATCGGAGTGAGTCTTGAATATGATTCCTCTCGGTCTCGTTTTGCTCTTAGAGCAGCACACGCTCACCACCGTCAGCCAGATCCGACTGAGTTGATGGAGAGATTATATATAGGAGTTATGCGCATCTGCCGTCAACTAGATCAGAGTAAGTCCAGCGTCAGTCTAGTCACCCAGAGAGTCTCTCACTCGCGCGCTCACCACCGTCAGCCAGATCCGGATGAGTAAATGGAATGAATGTGCGTACGACTATTGTCGAGCGCGCCCACCACCGTCAGAAAGAGCTGACGGTGGGTCAAGGGAAAGAATATGCGTATCAGCCAGATCAGGGTGAGTGCGTTTTGCGATAGGTTGGATTCTCCCAGCAAGGACGCTCCGTCAGCCAGAGTGCAGAATCCTTATGCTGCTGCAACTTGGGGCCGAATGGTTGGGTCCTCTCGACGCGGATGCTCGCACTCTCCACCGTCAGCCAGATTAGAGTGAGTCTAGATGCGGTGCTTCCTGTGGGGCTGTCCCTGGTTCTTGGCGTCAGGCCCACCACCGTCAGCATGTTACGAGTTAAGAACCCACGTCCTGTCATTCTCGCCATGCTGGGAGTCTGTGGGGTGTGCCCCTTAGATTCGAGCCAAGTACAGCTTTGTATGAGGTCCAGCATCAGGGTTCGTCTTCATGCATTCCTTCCAGCTTCGAGGCACAGCTTCAGGGATGAAGAGGGGTTCAATTCTGGGCTCGACCCTGGGTTCGCTCCTGACTTCGATCCTGGGTTCAGTCCTCGGTTCAATCCTGGTTCGGTTCTGCGTTCGATTCTGTGCAAGTATGAAGTCGAGCAGATTGTAACGCACGGCCAACTTGCGCGCGGCAAGGCAAAATCAACTTTGCGTTGCATAATTTGCGCCTCCACCCCTTTCCTCACCAGGGTGGAAAAATACGGTTTTCGTATTATACGGTCGTTTTTTTCGGTTCGTTTTATACGGTTGTATTTTGAAAAATACGGCCGTTTTTTTATTAGACGGATTTTCGACAAAAAAAAAAATCTCAAAAATTGCGGACATGCGGTACAACTTGCCTAAGGTGGACGACACGACGCAAAGGTGGTCAACTACCATGACTAGAGGTACGTTTAATCTACCTCCTACTCCTCCTCCCCCTCCTCCTCGGCGTACCACTCCCCCGGCCCCTACTCCTCCTCGTGGCGCGACCTCCTCCTCACATTACTACTCCTTGTCCTCCTCCTCATCCGCCCCACTGTCACCATCGCTGCAATCCCAGGGGTTGCTCCCCTTGGCCCTCTTGCGAGGCTCCTTTGATCCACTGCCCTCGCCCTCCTCCTCGTCCTCGCCCTCCTCCTCGCCCTCCTCATCCTCCTCCTCTTCCTCATCCTCCTCTTCCTCCTCCTCCTCCTCCTCCTCATCGTAGGCCACTTTCTCCTTCCCCTTACAGGACCCCCTACCCTTCTTGGCCTGCTTCTTGCCCCGAGCCTTGGATGCCGCCTTCTTCTTCCGCCCGCCGATGTTGCCAAAGGCATCCCAGTCGATGGTACACACCTCCCCGCCCTCCTCCTCTACCTCCTTGTTGGCCTCGGCTTCCACACGGGGGGGTGGGATGATGTTGGCACCCTCCTTCAGAGTGCCATTGGTGAGGTCGTCGTACAGCTGAGCTCGAGCCTCGACCTTCTGGTCAAAGGCTGTTCGCGCCCGTCTGCCGAACGCGACGAACGTCACGTCCGTCATGGTGGAGGCGTTCAGCCTGTTGCGGTCGCGCGTTTGGACACGAGCCAGAGCCGACCAGTAGCGCTCAACCTCACAGGATGTGACTGGCTGTGACAAGATCATCACAGCCAGCTCCTGCAAGGCGGCCACCTCGCCGCCGTACATCCACCACCACTCGGCGTCGGAGAGCCGCCCGCTCTCCACCAGAGCCGTCGCTGCCCAACGGGCCTCCACGGATCCCAGGCGGCCCTCCCCCTTGTGGAAGGTGCCCAGCTGAGCCGCGAGCATGGTGCGCCGAGGTACATCCCCTCCCCTCGCCAAAAACACCTCCTCTGCCCCCTGCCTCACCCCAGGGTCGTTCAGCACCTCCCCCACGTACTGGTTGCGGGGATTCAGGAGCCACCCCGCAGCATGGAGCGGGTTGTGCAGTTGACCATCCCAGCGGTTGGCGATGATCTTCTTCACCGTGACGAGGAAACTCGCCTTGTCCTTCGCCTCGAGCAACGCCGTCCGCTTGACAAAGAAGGTGGCTGCACGGGGAGCAGACGTGCCGAGGGAGGGTGAGATTAGGTACAGCTAAGAACGCCCATGGGAATGACACATGAGTGCCGCTCGCACGCCGCGGGGGGAAATGGGCAAGCAAGAGGTTGGCTTACCTGCCGCCTCTGCCGCGTCGGTGGTCTTGACAGTGGCCTCCAGCATGAGGCCATAGATCTGGCCCATGAGGAGACATCGCTTGTCGACCCGCCTCAGGACCTCGTAGATGGGTGTCATGAGCTTGAGCACCATGGCGACGCTTTCCCAAAAAACGTCCTCGAGGAGGAGGCTGCGAATTGCTTTCCCCTCCTCCGTGCGGGAAATTGGCACCTCCTCCCATGCATCGCTGATCACCATCTCCCGCAGGGCGTTCTTTACTTCGAGGAAGCGCCCGATCATCAGCACTTGCGTCCCGAAACGTGTAGCTCCCGGGCGCATAAGCTCCAAGAAGCTGAAGACCTCGCGGAACAAAGTGACCGCGGAGGCTGACTTCTTCACCATCATCACCACCCTGTGCACCTGCCCGAGGATGCGCTGCACAGCGCGGATTGCTCCTATGTCGTGCAGCATTAAGTCGAGGCAATGGGCGGCGCAGTTGGTGTAGAAGATTTGCGGGTACCCCTCCTTCAACAACGCCCCCGCCTTCTTGTTGTTGGAGGCGTTATCCATGACCACCTGGATGACGAGCCGGTCCCCCACGTTGCAGATCGAGCGTCGAATAAGCTCCGCGAGGTAGCTCCCCGTCTTTTTCGCGGTTTTGGAGTCGACGACGTCGACGACTACGGGTGCCGTATCGTTCTGAGCGATTACGCCCAAGAATCCGCGACTCTTAAGGCAGGACCAACCGTCGACGGTAAGAGAAACGCCACTGGTCCTCCACGTGTCCTTCAGCGGCTGCAGCAACTCCTCCGTGTCGGTCTTGAGTTTCACGAGCAGCGGCCCGCTGACCTTGTACGCGGATGGAAGCTTGTACGGCTTCCCAAACTGGACTACCGCGTTGACGAAGGCCTGCAAGGCCGGCGACTGTGATGTCCGAAACGCGAGGTCGTTTTCAGCGACCACTGTCGCCCAAAGATAATCCAACCGCTGGCGGCCAGCCACATCAGCTAGCTCGCGAATGTCTTGCTGACGCGAGCGCGGGGCAGAGTGCACCGTCGAGGACGAAGCTCGTCCTTGCGTGCCGTCAGGGGACGTGGAACGTTCTTCTTGGTTGCTCTCACGCAGCTGCTTCGCGTAGTCCGACGGGCAAGTGGAGACTTTCTTCTCCATCGACCTAGGGGTGCCATAGATATGCTGCCCTATCCTGGTCGCGTTTGGAGTGACACTAGAGCCACAATGAATGCAAACTGTGCTAATAACAAGGCCGGTCGGCTCCTTCACCTTCTTAACATGCTCCCAAATGTCGGATAGCTTCCTAGGCATGGCGTACACAGTAACGCCAGTAGCTGAGAAAATCGTGCGGTGGATTCGATCGTGCGAGGTGAGCTGCGTACAAGACTGTGCTCACCTTTCTGGAAGTGCTCCAAGTTTGTACCTGGTGGCCAACCTGCATTCTTGAGCGACGTGGAAAGACCTTGTTGGTAGGGATCGCAAATGACCAAGTGTGATTGGTCACGATTCGAATTTGCGACACACGAATTTTTGGGGAGGTCGCTTGGCCCGCGAAAATTGAGTCTACAGGGCGAGAAGAAACCCAACGACACAGGCGAAACAGGTGTACAGCCCGTTCTCTCTTCGTCAAATGTTGGCATCAGGCGGCTCGACAAAATGTTGGAATCGCGCCTCGGCGAAAAACCATCACTTCAACCTGACAAACATTCAAGATCCAACCAACCCACATTGCAATTTCGTTACAAGCCCAAAGCATGCAAATATTGGTTGGTTCGAAAAATACGGTCGTATTTTTCAACCGTATTTTTGCACCAACCAAAAAACACAGCTTTTGACCGTTTTAAACCGTTTTATACGATTCCGTATAATACGGCAAAAAAAAAAAAAAACGACCGTATTTTTGCAGGGAGTTCCTCACTATCCCTGCACATGCACCAACTACAGATGTTCGCAGGGCTGGCTCTGTGATGGGGAGCCCCAGGGCCCATAGAACTCATCCTCACACCTTCCTTCCTCATCATCCCTGCACACATACCTGTTACAGACCTTTGCCGGGCTGGCGTCCGTGATGGGCAAGCCTAGAGCCCATGGCAGCTGGACGTGGGACCGGTGCTTCACGCAGCAGCAGTGGGACGACTACATCAACAAGACGGGGTACTCACGGCCGGGAAACACAGGTGGAGCGCTGTGCCTCTACGTCACCGACCAGGAGAGGTGAGGGCGTTGTGTTGTAACCACCCTACTCTGTCACTGCTTAAAACAGAGGGATAAGCAGAGTGAAGTCAAGCAGGCGCCACTCGCGGTGAGCTGGACTGGGTAAGCCGAAAGGGAACGCGAGCTGACGATAGAGTGGTTGTGCTGTTCAGCTGACAGGCACGCAATTTGCATTGCAACCACCGTACCATGTGCGGTCGGTGAGCCGGACTGGGCCGCCGCCATACTGCGTGTGTGGTTGTGTCTGTGTACTATGTGCTAGTGTGGTGAGGCAGGCTCGCACTTGCTAGCCCTTCCGCCCCCTCCCTCCCTTTGGTAATCCGACACTGTTTCAGAAGGCTGGCTTGCTCTCGTCTTCGTCCATCTCATGATACATCATCTTCCCATGCCTCTCTCTCTCTCCACATCCCACGCCTCTCCAATCCACATGCCCACCTTAGGGCGTCAGTGCAGCAGACCTATCCTAGTCTTCACTTGACAAAAGAACAGGTTCCTTTGCCACGATCTCCCTTTTGCAGGCCTGCCTTTGAGCGTGAGTATGGTGGGTCCATTGTGGACATGGCAGGGAAGCCCCAGCAGCGCCAGGCGCTGTACTGCCCCAAGCTGATCGACATCCACTACTACCGGGGATCCATCCCCCTTATGGATCTCGTGCAGCGCCTGCCTGAGGAGATGGCCTTTATGAAGCGCACAGGGGACGTGGTGTTTGGCACGGTCGTGCCCATTTGAAACCTCTCCTACAACCTCACTGGCGTTCATAGGTTACATTCAACCTCACCGGTGCGCGTGAGTTGCTCGTTTAGCTTCCACTACCTTCTCGGCATTTCGTTGGTGTCCTTAACACAGCGTATGTCGCCCATCCGCTCCCTCCCTCCCTCCCTCCCTCCCTCCCTCCCTCCCTCCCTCCCTCCCTCCCTCCCTCCCTCCCTCCCTCCCTCCCTCCCTCCATCCCTCCATCCCTCCCTCCCTCCCTCCCTCCCTCCCTCCCTCCCTCCCTCCCTCCCTCCCTCCCTCCCTCCCTCCCTCCCTCCCTCCCTTCCTCCCTTCCTCCCTCCCTCCCTCCATCCCTCCCTGCCCCCCTGCCTCCCTGCCTCCCTCCCCCTCTCCTGCCTCGCCTACTCTCTCTCACGTGCGTGTGCGTGTGCATGGTTCGTCTCCCTCCCCACGCCAGCTATTGGCTTCCCCATCTTGCAGCATCCGTTGCCGCCGAGCCCCACTGAGCAGCAGGCTCGCGACGCCGTGATTGGTGGTGCTGGCGCCGTGGTGGACTTCGTGTCCATCATCAGGAACGTGCTCGACAAGGTGTTCACCCCAGGTGAGAACCAACTAACAGAGTCCCTCACCAGGCTCTGATTCTGTACGTCTTTTTGGGACCGCTGGCTTGCTCCATGACTTTTGAGTTGACTCAAGAGACACCCCGCGCGGGCTGGCTCTGTGGTGGATTGGATTTCTGCGGGAAGGCGTGTTATATAGAGGCGCCACTGTAAACCTCAATTTGAGGCTATCCAAAGCCTCAGTTGACATGTTTTCAGATCAAGGATTCCTCCAAATCCCTCCCCTAGCCTCCCTATTGCCCTTGTCTGTTCGTCCGCCTATGAACTGCCCCCTTGCCATCACCTCCAGACCCCTCCATCACATTTGAGGCGTATGACACCAAATGTGTATGCTCTATCATGTCTTGCCCTTCCCCTCCTGTCTCCCTCCCCACAGACCCCTCCATCACATTTGAGGCGTATGACACCACGGACGTCGATGGATTACACATGATCTACAGCCCGAGCCCAAGGCTCATCTACTACAGAGAGAGGGACATTGCACCCTTCACTGCTCCCTCACCCGCTAATGTCACGCGCCCGTGGGAGCAGCGGGCAGTTGTGCCGCTGGAACTGCTTGGCGGCTGCCTGCAAAAGTACGAGGTCTGGTGCCGGTGAGTGGGGTATAGGGAGTGAGTGAGCCGTACAATTCCCTATCTATTGTCTTTAACTCCTGTGGTATTATGAGTTTCATCCATAGCTTCCTTTGCAACCCCTCTTCTTCGCTTTCCCCACCCTCATAGCAGCCATAGCATGGCACCAATGTGTTGGTTATCTGGGAAGCCAGGATGGCATGGCTGCGGCAGACCGCCTCCGAGCCGAGGCGCGGACAGCAGAGCAGTCGAAGAGCTCGTTTGTGGCATCCATGTCGCATGAGCTGCGCACCCCTATGATCGGCATCGTTGGCATGTTGGACGCCCTGGCTGACATGGGGCTCTCCGCCTCCCAGGTGGAGGACGTGAGTGCGGCGCGCGCATCAGCGCACGACACCGTGCGCCTCGTCAACCACGTGCTCGACCTCTCCAAGCTCGAGGCCAGGAAGATGGCGCTCAGCTGCGTGCGCTTCAAGCCTCGTGCTTGGTTGGAGAGTGTTGTGGTGGAGAATTATTGGAGGGCGCACCAAAAGGGGATCGAGCGTGAGTGTCCGGGTGGGGGGATGAGCAGCAGGTCAGTGGAAGGGGTTATGGTTGGCGAGTGTGTGAGGGATTGGCGACTGGGAAAGTGCAACACGTTTGGCATGTTGTCGTGCCTGCGAGTTTGTGTTGGAGTGAAGACGAGTCTGCATGCAGCTTTTTGGCGGTCACTGTCTCACGACAGCTATTGACGCTACTAGCTGGGCTTCCTACCAGCAGCTTCTGGACCGACTTTTGATCGTGACCGCCAGAAAGCTGCATGTGGGCTTCCGCTTCGCAATGTTCGGTCCATGAAGGCTATTGAGGTTCATTGTGGGGCCCACATTGACGTATTCGTACGTTTGTCGCACTTATCATAGCTAACTACTGTGGACTTCCCTTATTTTGCCATTGGTGGGCATGGTGGATGTGAGCATGTCAATGGTTCAACGTTCATTGATGTCTTCCCTTTTTTTTTGTCCCTTGCATGGCAGTGGTGGGCATGGTGGATGTGAGCATGCCTGTTTGTTGGAAATGGATACCATGAGACTCACACAGACGCTCAAAGAGCTCATAGGTGGGTGGGAGACAATTCGTATGTCGTGTGCTATTCTTTATTTTAGAGGACATTTTTATTCTCTTTTCCCTTTCTAATTGCTGATTTATTGCCACCATTCTTCCAAACGCCTACGTTTCTTGAACCCACCGCTCCAGACAATGCCATTCACCACACCACGACGGGCCATGTCTTGGTGCGGCTGTCTGTGTGTCCAGCTTCCACGGCTCTTGAAACCACCCTCGACCACATCAGTCAGTAGTTCCAACTCACTCTGCTGAATGAGCCCAAGGCACCGACCTCTGTTACCCTAGCCCTTCCCACTCCCCCATTGTCACGTTGCTCGTCGTTTCGTCGTTTTTTTTTTTTTTTTTTTTTTTTTTTTTTTGTTGATGTTGTTGTTGTTGTCCTGTTCTTATTGTGTCGAATCCAGCTCCCTTTTAGCTTCCACATCTCATGTTGTTGCTCCCTCGCTTTCCTATGTTCCATGTGTGTCTGTTTATGTTGGAAAATTCGCTCAGAAGGCTTAGCGTATAGCGTATATACGCTAGCGAATATACGCAATACGCTAATACGCTTGGAATACGCGATACGCAATACTGGGGCTGCCCGGCGAATAAAAAAATGAAATTCAAAAATTTCCCGGCAAGTTCGCGACATTGCGAAATCTCAAATTTTCGTCCACGCTTTTTCGCCCACCCCCTCACCAGGTGTGGACGTGGATGGAAGGCATCCCATGTTTGTCGTCCCCCCCATTCCCGCCATACTTCAGATCTGAAGCACCATCTCTCTTCATTTTTGAACTCCAAGCTCTCCCTCCCCTTGCTGATCTTAGCTTAGTTCTATTCATTCTTCTCTGTAGTGGTCATGGCGTCCACCCCATCAACCCCCGTTAGCGTGCCTGCTCCTACTAACGTTGGCGAGGCTTCCTCCTCCTCCGCCATTGTTTACATAACGGATGCTTCGCATCCTATTTTTAAGCATTTTGAAACCGCGCTTAACGCGGACGGCAAGGCAACGGACAACCGCTGCTGCAAATTTTGTGGGCACACCTTTAATGGCGGGATGACGCGTTGTGCACAGCACCTCGCCGAGTGGAACAAACTCCGTCACCGCGATGTGACCCTCTGCAGCGCTGTAACGCAAGAGGTGCGCAACGGAGTTAAGGCCCTGTACGAGGCACGGATTAGGGTGCGGGCGGGAGGGGAAGCGCGAGGCAGAGGAGCAGGCGTTGACCGTGGTTAGCGGCGGCGGCAGCGGCAAAAAGGGGCGCATCACCGATTTCTTTGGAGATGAGGCCGCCTGCCGCAAGAAGGAAGCGGACCAGGCGATCTGCCTCCTCTTCGCTGGGTTGCGCCTGCCGGAGCATCACGCGGACCACGTCCTCTTCAGGAATGCGGTCTCCGCCATCGCTCGAGCCGGCACCTCCTACGTTCCCCCGAAACGCAAGTTCATCGGCGGTGCCGGCCTCCGCGACTGCCGCACCAGTATCGAGACCGCGCTCGTTCCGATCTCCAGCAGCTGGTGGCGGAGCGGCGTCACCATTGCTAGCGATATGATGACGGACCAAAACGGCCGCCCCATCGCGAACGTCCTTCTCATCAACGACTCTGGCGCTGTTTTTGTTGATGCCGTGGACACGAACATGGAGATGAAGACCGGCGGGTACATTGCCGGTATTCTCCGCCCCATTCTCCAGCGCGTGGGGCCGGAGAATGTTGTCGCGTTCTGCATGGATGGCGGCTCGAACTACGCCGCAGCCTGCAGGATCTTGATCGCCGAGCACCCCAACATCGAGCACGTGCCTTACGCCACGCACGTGCTGGATCTCCTAATGGAGGACATCGGCAAGATGGGCTGGGCGAAGGAGGTGGTGGAGAAGGCCACGGTCATCACCTCCTTCGTCCGCAAGCACCACCTCACCCGCAAATACATGCGGAGCGACAAGGTGGAGGGGGGCAAGGGGAAACAGGTGCTGAATCCGGCCGGCACGCGTTTCGGCACCCAGTTCATCTCTGTGTCCTGGCTGTGCGAGGTGCGGATGTCGCTCACTCAGCTTGTGCTGAGTGACGAGTGGAGCAGGTTTGCGGCAGGGGGGAGGAAGCCGGGCAGCGAGGCGTTCAGCGCTGCCGTTCTGGACTCCGACTGGTGGACCAAGGCCTAGCAATTTGTCGACCTCATGCGGCTGCCGTTCGTTGCAATGAGCGCCACCGACTCGTCCGTGAAGGGCATGATGGGTCGTATCTACGACCTCATGCTGCAGCTTACCGTTGATGTCGATGAGAAGCTGGAGGAGGCGCGGCTGGAGGGACTCACCGCTGCGGACGCCCATGCCATCCGCCGCATTGTGAAGAGGAGGTGGGACGGCAGCATGGCGTGCCCCCTCCACGTGGTTGGCCGCATCCTTAACCCGGCCAACCAGGAGGAGGGGATCTTCCCCTCGGACATGGAGTGCACAAGGGTCTTCCCCGCCATTACGAAATCAAGGAGTTCATGAGGGACGGCGAGGCCGTTAGTGCATCTCTCGTGATGCAGGAAGGCCTCGACGCCTTCATGACTCTGAAGGGCAGCTTCAGGCTCCCCACTGTCAGTGCTGATCGTGCAGCAGTGAAGGAGGGGAGGCAAACCATGGCGCGGTGGTGGCAGTGGCACGGGTCCGACTACCCTGAGCTTTCTGCACTGGCATGTCGGGTGCTCTCACAGCCGGTTTCAGCAGCCGCATGCGAGCGCAACTGGGCAGCGTGGGAGGCGATCCACACTGCCAAGCGCAACCGCCCCAGTGCCGAAAAGTGTCGGGACCTGGTCTTCGTGTCCCACAACTGGAACCAGGTCCACAACTGGCACAAGGAGGACGGGGGGTCCCTGGTCCTTCCAGGGACCAGCTCTGAGGCCCTTGTGCCCACGGGGTACATCCTGGAGGACGACTTGGAGGAGGAGGAGGGGGAGGATCTGGTTATGGAGGACGAGTACCAGTAGACCAGTCACCAGAGGAAGCAGCAGTGGGAGAGGCAGCAGCAGGACCAGGGGGGGAGGCAGCTGCAGCAGCGGGAGAAACAGCAGCAGCAGTGGACCAGACAGTAGCAGCAGTGGGCGAGGGAGCAGTGGCAGCAGTGGGCGTGAGAGGCTACAGCCGCTGTAGAAGTAGTAGCAGCAGTGCTAGCAGTGGGAGAGGGAGAACGGCTAGGGCAGTTTTGCTGGGAAGTGGTGTGGGGTGGGGGAATGTGGTCCTTGATAGACTCTTGATGTGACACATCCCTATGTTAAGTTATTTAAATGACCTAAAAAAAATCAACCTCCATGCCCTGCACCCCTGTGCCCTTCCCCCCTCTCCTGGCTGCCCGCCGGTTTTTTTGCCTGCTCGGGAAAAAAAATTCCCCTGCCCGGGCAGCTGTGTTCCTGCCGTATTGGACCCCAAACCCCTGCGTACAGCGTATATACGCTAGCCATATACGCTAGCGTATAAAACGCAATACCCGTATATTCCAACATAGGTGTCTGTGCCGGTGTTCCGCTCTGCCCTCCTCAGATGTATCAGACACCCCGCTCCAGCCTCATCCTCTGCTTCGCCCCTCGTTCTTCACCCAGATTACTCATTCGCTCACCTACCTTGGGCTAGTATTCACCCCAGCTGCCCAAGCGTTTTGGAGCGACCACCACGAGCTAGCAGAACAGGATTCAGAAAGCGAGGAGGAGGGGGCGATGATAGTGGAAGCGGACGAGGCAGCAGTAGCGGTGGGGGAGGTTGATGAGGGAGTGAATGGGGGGAGGAGCGAGGATGGAGGTGGATGGGTGGATATGGGTGGTGGTGGGTGGAGTGGTGGCAGCAGGAGGATGCAGCTGGTGGTGTCGTGCGAGGATACAGTGTGTGGCTTCAGTGCTGCGATGCAGGAAGGCCTCTTTGAGTTCAAGGTGAGGGCGAGCAAGGGAAAGGGACCTTGGGGTGGTAGTGGTTGGATGGAGCGGCATCGGTGAAAGGATGCAGCTGGTGGTGTCGTGAAGATACAGGGCGTGGCTTCAGTACGGTGATGCGAGAACACCTTTTTGAGTTAAAGGTGAGGGTGTATAAAACTCCCATGTGGAGCGTGCGTTTCACCTGACATATGCAGGTATGGGATAGCAAGGTTTGCATGGTAACATGGGTTGGTGCAGGAGAGGAGAAAATGTAGACAGCCAAACGATGGCATGGGAGAGGATGCTAGTGTGTCTTTCGGGGTGCTATGTTAGTTGAACACACGTCATCTCATTTCATCCTGCTGCCTGGGTTACGTCTGATAACTGCAGGGACGGTCGGAGAGTGGAGGAGCGGGGCTGGGTCTTGTTCTCGCGCACCAGTTGGTAAGGGCTATTGGCACTGGAATATTGAGAGGTCTATCACTACCTGATGCCCACTCTATGGCCCTTCAATCAACAACACTGCAATGCACTGCTCTAGGCACTCCCGTCCCAATGCTACTCTCTGCTCTTTTGTTGCCTGTATGGTATTTGGCCTGCATTTCAATGCCTAAAAACTGCTTGCTCTAGGTATTTCAATGCCTCATTCCCCACCATCTCGTCTTGACTTCTCTGCTGCTTAATCGCCTCTACTATATTTGGCCTGTGTGTACCTGCCTGCATATTATCCCACTTGGCTTCTCTGCGTGCTTGCATATAAACAATCCGCACAAAAGTATTTTTTTTCCCATCCTGCAAATGTTGCATCAACCTTAAAGCTGAAACCCTAGTCAGAATCAGCTCAGCACTCCACACATTGATGATTGAGGCCCATCCCTTGGTCACACTGCTCCACTTCCATCGATCACATCTCCTTTTGGCTGCCCATCCATCACAATTCCCACTTCATCTTGGTCATCCATGAATGGTCTTGTTCTTGATTCTCCCTCTCTGCCGTCCCTCTGCCCTTCTCCCCACCACTTCCTCTTCCCCCCCCCTCTCAGGCGCCCCTCATGGGTGCGTCTTGCCTGCTTGTCCATTGCCTCCCTCTCTTCGCCCCCATCCCCAACACCCTTCTCCCCCCAGGCGCCCCTCATGGGTGGTCGTGTCACCTACTTGTCTCATCCCGGCATCGGCTCCACCTTCGCCTTCTCCGTCCCCTTCGCTGCGCACCCCTCCCCCCCTCACACTCTTGGCCCACCCGACACTCCCACTACTCGTCATCACTCTCCTGTTCTTCCGGGCCGGCATTATTTATACGATGCGCCACTTGAAAGCCCTTCTTTCCCGGCAGGGGGGGGAGATGTGGTGGGGATGTGGGGCAGAGGAATTGTGGGGATGTTTGCCGTTTTTGGGATCTAGCAAAAGGCGGGATTGTGGCAACAGGGGAGACGTGGGGAGATTCAGGGCCCAGAGGCGGACGGGGGGTGAAGGACAGAGAGAGGAGAGGGAGGAGGAGTGTGTGGGGCCCACAAGCAGCATTGATGGGGTAGCTGTTGGCGTGGTGGGGTCTGATGCAGGCAGCAGGGAGGTGAGACATGGGGCCCATGTGACATGATAGGGGGGTGTGGGACATGATGCCATGTGATGTGATAGGGGGATGTGTGGAAGTTGAGCATGGGAAAGGATGCTTTATTCGACCTTTGTTCCCCTCCGAACAAAAGCCCTTTCATAAAGTTACCACCGCCTGTGGCAGTTGCTGCCCGACTCTTATCTTTGACGCACCCTTCTTCTCCTTTGAACCCCTTGTCTTCTTCCCCTCGTCAGCTCACGGCTCGCTTCCTATCAAGTCTCGGAGCACAAGTGCATCTGCTGCCAGCAACAGTGGAAGGCGCATCAGACAAACGCTCATGTTGTGAAACGGCAGAGCTGACTTTTGATTCGACTCAAAAGGCAGAGCTCCATTTCCTGCCAGCAAAGCAAGAACAGAGGGAGACAGTGGCGCAAAGTCATGTGCAGTCTGCAGGGGGGGCAAACGGCTCGGTTGGTGAAAAGAGACTGGGAGAGGGTGGGGGGGAGAAAGGGGGAGAGAGAGGGGAGGGAGAGGGGGTGAGTGTGCCATGGGTGGTGGTGGTGGTGGAGGAAGGGGACCTGTGGAGGCAACAGAGTGAGGGAGGAGAGGTACTTTCTGGCAGTCCATGTGAGAATGGTCGGCAGTGTGGCAGGAATGGACGGCAGAGTGACATGGATGGGCGGCAAAGTGACATGGATGGGCAGCATAGTGACATGGATGGGTGGCAAAATGACATGGATGGGCAGCAAAGTGACATGGATGGGCGGCACAGTGACATGGATGGGCGGCAAAGTGACATGGGCAAGCTCCTCTTGGGTGTTGTGGGGCGGCAGAGAGGTTTGATTGGTGAAGGGAGCGTGTATGGGGGAGGAAGGAGGCCGGGTGCGGTAGCAATTGTGCCTGCAGGGGCAGCGGCGTGGCAGGCAGCCGTGCGGCTCGTGAGACGGGTAGAAGGGATGGCTTGTGTCGGACATGTGGTGGGGGTTGTCGTTCTGGCAGGCTTCTGGAGTGGCGAGGAGATGTGGGGAGAGGGGAGGGATGAAGAGGAGGATGAGAAGGAGGGTGAGGTGAACGTTGAGGACAAAGATGAGGAGGAAGCGGAGGAGGCAGAGGCGGGGAGTGAGAAGCAGTTCGCTGAGGGGGGAGAACCGGAAGGTTCCGCTCAGTCTGAACCATCACCAGCCTGTTCGTTTACAGCTACTAATGGTGCTGCTTCTCCCACCTCTCCCCGTGTGGTCATCTGTCGCCGCCCGCTTCTCTCTCACTATCTGCACCATGCCATTCAGGTGAACCTCTGTTGCCATCAGGCCTCTGTTGCCATCAGGTGAGCCTCCTTTGGCAAAAGGTGAGCTGTCAGGTCTCTGCAATGCGGTCTACTGCTGATTCTTTGCCACTCCACTTTCTACTCCCACGTTCTTGGACGTTCTTAGATTTCTGTATTCCTGCACGACCGTGACCTCCTGTCCTTCCACATGCCTTTTCATACCTTCCCATACCTTCCAATACCTTCCTATACCTTCCCATGCCTTCCCATACCTTCCCATACCTTCCAATACCTTCCCATACCTTCCCATACCTTCCCATACCTTCCGATACCTTCCCATGCCTTCCCATACCTTCCCGTGCCTTCCCCGATCCCGTGCCTTCCCCCCACGGTCACCCAAACCCAGATGGCAGCATTTGGACTCGATGCAAGCAGCCTGTCCCATGGCAGCAGAGGCTGCGAGAGACACGGCAGCTCTGTGCCTTGGACAGAAATAGACGAGGGCAGGGAGCAGGACGAGAGCAGAGAGGGCAGCAGAGAGGGGAGCAGAGAGGGGAGCTTGAAAGCACATCCGTTCTCAATCGGCTGGAGTGTGGGGGGCAGTGGCAGGGAGCAGCAGAACGGCATTGAGGGTCGGAGCGGCAGTGATGGTGGCAGGGTGGCACGCGTAGGGCATGGAACTGCATGGCACGGTGGCAATACACAGGGTGATTCGAGTGAGCAGAGTAGAATCGGTGGCTGTGATTTGGAGTGGAGTGGCAGGCGAGCCGTGGGGAGAAGCCGCAGCATGGGAGTAACGGGCACATGTATGGCAGCCGCCGGTGCTTCCACCAGCAGAAGCAGCAAACTCAAGGGCAGCAGAAAGGCATCAGCATCAGCAGCAGCAGCAGCGGCAGCAGCAGCAGCAGCAGTGGCAGGGCTGGGTGCAGGGGCAGGGGCGCGCTCCCTCTCAGCGAATGCGGCTGAACCAGCCTTTGCCTCCTGTTCGGCCCAGGGGGGGGTGCACAGGGTGCTGCAGGGGCTGGGCGTGCTGGTGGTGGACGACACGGGCGTGAACCTGGTGGTGGCCCGCCGCACTCTGAGTCGATGCGGCGCCGCTGTGGCCACGGCAGGCAGCGGGGAGGACGCAGTGCGGCGGGTGAAGGCGGCCATGGGGGGGGCGGGGGAGGCGCTGGATGTGGTGCTGATGGACCTGCAGATGCCAGGCATGGACGGGTGAGTGGGGGGATGTAATGAGCAGGCATGGGTGTGTCATGAGCGTGTGATTATCTCAATTGTCGTCGCATGTATGTCCACCCCAACCCCGTGCTCTCCATTGCCCCCTGTGCCTCGCTATAATTGCACCCAGGTTCATGGCAACAGAGGCCATACGAGCACATGAACAAGCCCGAGCTTTGCATTCAGCATCGTCAGCAGGCCCTTCGGTCCCCCGGGTGCCCATAGTGGCTCTGACAGCAGATGTGGATGAGGAGATTACTCGGCGCTGCCTTGCGAATGGCTTTGATGGCATTCTGCAGAAGCCAGTCGACCCCAAGCTGCTCTCGCACCTGCTGCTGCGGATTAATAACAAGGCAAGGCAGCCTTGCCGGCCAGGGTACAGCAGGAGTGTTTCACATCCTGTTGCAAAAGCCGTGCCATCGTTGCGTGATGCGCAAAGAGCAATGACTTTGGCTGCTTATGAGTGTAGAAGTTAGAATGCTGTTCTGTGTCGATGGAGCTGTTGGTCACATGAAGTTTTGAGGCGCCTCAACAATGGGCAGTCAGTGACATCATGGCTTCGCTGTGGCACAAATTGCCACCTGTAGGCAGCATCCTAGCACCAATGTAGCAAGCTAGTGAGGCCCAGTGCTGATGTTTGGTTTTTCAGTACTCTTAAATCTGGAAGCTTCTTTCACCATTACTCTGAAAACTAGAGTGGTCCTCAACATTTTCCATCACGCCTAGACTCATTCTTTGAGCCACGATGGAAAGTGTCACAGGAGGACGAATCGATTCACAGGTCGTCGACATCATCATCGTCAAACCATGGGCTAGGTCTGGGGTGCTCATAGGGGAATAGGTTATGCTCGAGCTCCTCTACTGCCGCCTCGTCTTCCGCAGAGGCGAAGGTGCAACCCGTGTAAGCATAGGCGGTGGCAGCACCAACTGTGCAGTCTTCTCATAGAAGAGGACGTACCGTAAAGGATCCACCTTGGACATGTTGAAGTCCAAGATGTTCCATGCTCTGTACCCCTTGGAGATTCCCAGGTGAATCCCCCAGCAGGATTGCCGCTCGAACTTCCTACTGCGCGCGATATGAGCACCATGCACCTCCACACGCGGAGCAAGATCGTGTCCCCGGCCGTGCTGGTCCACTTTCGATGCGGTGAGATATTATCCTCATTTGTCATGGTGGACAGCATGTTGTGCACCCGCACGGCATGATGCATGGCGTATGGCCAGTAGTTAGATGGTAGGAGGGACTGGTGCATCATGGCCTGCACCTTGGTTATCAAGGTGTGGTTCATCCTTTCATCGACTCTGTACTGAAAGTGAGCGTACGGCAAGGAGAGACGACATTCGATCCCCAGCAGTCCGAATAAGGTTTGCAGTTCCTCACTGCGGAATTCCCGAGCTCCGGCGGTTTGCCAGTATTTGAGCTCCTTTCCTGACTGGCGCTCAGCAGGGTTGAGCAAGAGGTTGAAGAGCTGATGGACTCGGCCTATGTTCCACACGTTGTCGGCCCATATATAGTGGGTGCTGGTGTCGATGAAGGTGAGTGTGTACTGCTCGCCCTGAGTCCCGACTTGAATGAGTACGAGGTAGTCGTTGTATACTTGCTCGAGTTTCTCATAGCGGTTGGTGCTGCACTCAAGCAGCGAAAAGGGCTGGTGTGTGAGAGCGGCTTCAAGGCAGACTGTGTAGTTGTGGGGTTCTTGGCTGATCTGGAGCTCGTTGCCGTCTGAGTCTAGTAGTGTCCCTAGGGCGAAGTCTCCTGCCCTAATGAGTTTTTTAGGGTAGTGTGAGAGGGGTGTCCAAGCTGCTGATGCCAAGTGTTAATAGGTGCGCGGTAGCCACTGGAACGATGGTAGCGAGCAGCGAATTCAGCTGAGGTTGGTTCTTGCTTAGGAGGAGGTGAGGCTGTAACAATAAGCACAAGAAAATCCCTCTCGAGGATGTCAGTGCCAATAACGATCTCTCTTGGGGGAACTGCCGGGCCAGCAGGTGACTCTCCCACTCCTTTCATTGGAGCTGGTGGATGAGAGAGTCGATTCAAAGGAGGCCCTGGATGATGCTAGGCTCCCAAGTCTGCATTTACCCCTCTTCTTCCTCAGATCGGAAAGGTGTCATGTCCGGGGGATTGGGACTTCCGAGTCCTTGGGCTGGTTCAAGGGGCAAAAGTTGGTGGGCGAGGTTCATCAGCCCATGGTACGCATTTGTACTCTGCTCAGGTGCCAGGAGGTTGAAAAGGATGGCCAAGGGGAACAACAGGTCTTTCCCCTGGTCCTCTTGGTCGTCTCCTCCCCTATACCAGAGTCACGGGTCGAGGCGATAGTAGCTTGTGTCGGGGTCGAGGTGCTAGGGATTTGGTTCCTCGAGGCTAGGTTCTGGGACCCCTCTTCATGCTGAGTCTGGCACATTTGTCCATCGTGGAGGGTCTGGGCCCATCCCCAACCCTTTCTTGTAGCTAGGGCACCTATCTCGACTCTAGGTTGTTGTGACGTTTCGCCGACTGTACCTTCAGTCTGTGTTATTGTTCCCTCTTCTGCTTCTGTTCCCTCTACTGCTCATGTTCCTTCTACTGCTGCTGCTTCTGCTACTGTTACTACTGCGACTGCTTTTATGCCTACTCCTGCCTTTACTGCTATTGCTGCCTTGGTGTTTGTCCATGCTGTTGCTTCCACTGCTATTGCTGTTGTGGTTTTTGCAGTGTCTTCCTCAGTTGGCTCGCGCCATTTGGGACTGAAGGCCATGTGAGCAGCAATGTCCCAAGGGCTGGCTCGCGCGATGTTGACAAAGCAGCTAGGTCCCACGTAGCAAAGAACACAGTGGTAGTGTACTTTTGCTGGGATGTCTGTGGTACATCAACAGCCCAAGGCGCTTCCCTCATCCTCATCCCTTTTGCCGGCTTGGGGGTTGCGATAGCAATTGAAATGTCGTGAGCCGACCATGTGTTGGCCACATCAGTTATAGAGGTACTGTACCACTGATTGTTATTCTTGACGTCGCTTCGCGCGAGGAGTGCGATCATTGGCGTGAGTAAGAAGGGGCGGTTCTCCCAGTGCAAGAATCTTTGTGCAGGATTCCGTCAAAGTTTACCTCTCCGGTTGCGACGCTCGTGTCCGAAAGGGATGGAGGACACTCAAGTAGGGGAATAGGAAGATTTCATTCCTGCTTGTATGCGTCACATCCGTAGTCTCCATCCATAGTGCATGGGTTGTTGTATTCAGCGTCTTCGACCTCAAGGAAATATTCGTCATCGTTTGGGGGCAACAGAGGGTGGCGGTTGGCAGCGATTCATACGGTGCGTTAATGCAGAGGTGCGCAACGCCATGAATGCTTGCCAGACAACTCTAGTGTTGGCGGGCCTTGGCTGGCGCGGATCCATTGGCGCATTTGGACGCGGGGCGGGTCGCTGGTCCACTTGGGACAAGCGACCGACCTAGCGCTGTACATGTCGAGATCCATGGGCCTCCTCTGATCGGTAGTGCTTTACTGGCCGTCATGAGGAGTGGGGGCGTTGGGAGTTCTGTAGCTGCTGCTGCTGGGTCGATTTGCGCAGCGTTCGGTAATGACCGAAGGTTTCAGCAAAGACGCATGTGCCTTGGCAAGTGGCCCTCATTGGGGTTGGGGCACAGGTGAAGCATGTGCCCCCAATGGTATGTTTTTTAGTCGATTCAAAGCATACCATCCATGGTTGAGTCACGACCGCATGGTTGAGGCACGACCGCATGGTTGAGGCATGACCCCATGGTTGAGGCATGACCGCATGGTTGGGTCATGTCCCATGGTTGAGGCATGTGCCATGGTGTGTCTGTGCATATTGATTGACATGTGCCCTGTCTGTGGAATGTCTTCATAATCGTGGCTTGTGAGTGCGCCCGTGATCTTGGTATGTACCCATGCCCAAGGCATGATCCATGGTTGAGGCACCCCCTCCTCCTCCGCCGCGCCCAGCCTTGGGGCGGCGGCCCTTCCCCAGACGGAACTGCACGGCAGCAGTAGTCTCAGCCACAGCGGCAGAATCGTCGGAGAAGGTACACTGAGCGGGGGCACAACCCTGAAAGATAGGGACCGGCACAGTACCGCTCGCCTGGGCGATGGAGCGGTGGCGGGTCTCAATAACAGTCAGGGTGTCTACAAAGTCGGTGAGGGTGAGCTCACCGGGGTGGATGCTAAGGAAGCGGTCGCGGGCGGCGGCAAGGCGGTCAGGGAGGCGGGTGGCAAGCAAGTAGAGGGTAGAGGTAATGGGCAGCTGGTGGGCTCTAAGCTGTGCGTCAGTGCAGGCCGCGCGCCAGGTCTCATCTATCGTGCGCAGGTGGGCAGCCAGGTCAGCGACAGTGGGGAAAGACGCAAGGTCAGGAAAGAGCATCAGGAGGATCAGGCGACCCACCGAGGCAGCAGGAGGGGTGGAATAGCACTTGATGACAGCATCTAAGAAAGCCTGGGCGGTAGTGATGGACCTAAAGCGAGGGCGCTCAGACGGGGGAAGGGCATTGCTAATGGCAAGCTGGGCGACAGCGTCTTGGGAAAGCCAGACAGAGCGCGCAAGGGCAGCGGCTGCAGTAGACTCGCGCTCAGCGGGTGTGGGGTCAGCGGGCAGCACAGCAGGGGGGTCTGGGCAGGGGAGCGTACCGTCAAGGTGTGCGGAAAGCAGGTGGCCATCCTGCCGCTGGCCAGTGAGGTGGCGACGGAGGTCGGCGAGCCACGCCTCGAACTCCAAAGGCTGGCCTTCAGCGTCGAAGCGAAGCTCCGCCGCCATCAGGAGCAGTGCAGGACAGTGAGGTGCAGTGCGGTGCAGCGCGGTGCAGTGCGGTGCAGGGCGGTGCAGGGAGGTGCAGTGCGGTACCGTGCGGTGCAGTGCGGTGCAGGGCGGTACCGTGCGGTGCAGGGCGGTGCAGCGTGGGGCAGTGCGGTACAGTGCGGTACAGGTGACGGGAAACCGTACCAGGGAGGGTGCAGGGCTGGAGCAGGCACGACGAGCGGGCCGCACACAGCTCGGGGCAGGACGGGCGCTGGGGCCAGGAGCAGCGGGCACCAGACCGGCGGGACGAGCGCGGGGCCGACGGGGTGGGCGCAGGGCCGGCTGGGACGGGCGCGGGGCCGGCTGGGACGGGCGCGGGCCGGCTGGGACGGGCGCGGGCCGGCTGGGACGAGCGCGGGCCAGCTGGGACGGGCGCGGGTCGGCTGGGACAGGCGCGGAGCCGGCTGGGACGGGCGCGGGCCGGCTGAGACGGGCGCAGGGGCCGAGCGGGCAGGGCGCGGAGGTCGCGAGGGCGGGCGTGGGGCCGGCTGGGACGGGCGTAGGGGCCACTAGGGTAGCGCGGGGGCCGCTAGGGCGGG